AGCTGAGGCAGAACAGCACTCAAGGCAAAGGCAACTATATTTACAGAAGAAAAGAAAGAAATTAGTGGCTAAGGCGAGTAAGTATGGGACTGCGGATGCAAAACGACTTAGATAATCAAATAACCATAACAATGAACGCTAGAGGATGAGAAACATTGAACTCATTAGCAGGCTGATCTCGACGAACACCGCAGTACAGCTCCGCAGCGTAAACAACATGACCCTTCAGGAGACAGGAAACTGAAAAAAGGAGCTGAGAACCTGGGAAATTCCGAAACCTTGGCCAAGTTTCACCTTTTGTAATCTTTCTTTGAACGTAGCACCATTACCAGCCGCTATAACATCGAGAGGCAACAGTTTAAACCAACTAGCGCATCGGTAAAAGATATTATTAAAGCGTGCCAGCGCACGGTATCTGGCATCCGAAATTGAACAGTAAAGATTGAACCTACCTCGCCTCGTACCTGTGGGTCTAAAGATCCACTACTTGCTGGCACGCAGCTTCAGCTCACAGCGCAGAATACGAAAACAAGAAACTAAGTAATAGATTGCACGTTTATATTGCAAAGAATGAAGCCCAAACAACCGAAGTCGCTCATCATAACCGGGTAAATGATTACGACTATGATAGCAAGCAGTTCTATACCACAGGAGAAGAGTGAAAACCGCTAAACGCTTTCGATTTTTGAGACACTTTTCTTGGAACATGGGCTCCACACCTGTGAGCAATATTTGACATGCGGCAAGACGCAAGCTTTGTAGAGGCGTTTTAGCAATGTCACATCAGAAGACTGCACTTTACGAAACAAGACGAATAAGTTCCTGAACTCTTTCTCCACCGCTTGCTCAATATGAAGGGAAAATCCAATTCAATAAATTTCCGCCAAGGCCAACCATTTTCAAGTTTTGGATGACTTTTACTCTGTCGAATGCTTCAGAGAGATCGAAGAATATAATACTTATCAACGGAGCACTTGTTATTCAGAGCCGTAAGCCGATCAAACGTACTAGCCAGAAGCTGAGAAGCTGTAGATGGCCCTCAAAGAAACCATGCTGCTCACTGCGGATAAAGTGATGCCTATTGAGCCCACTCAACTAGCTTCTTCCTAATAATATTTTCCACGACTTTCACCGCTACATGGATTATGCTGATGGGTCGGATGTTACTTATTAATCGAGTGTTAGAATTTTGGGTATAGCAGTGACTAATGCTTCCCTCCACAAAGATAGAACTGACCCCATCAGCATAGAAACATTAAAGATCATGGCCAAAGGCTTGTAGAGCTTTTTAGCGCAACGTTCGCTTAGTTTCTGAGGGATTTCATCGATGTAGCAGAGTTCGTAGACTTCAAACGCACCAAATACTTCAGCACCACAGTAGGGTCAACAGCATTATGCCTCAGTGGCTTATGAAAACTCGGTGACTCATCAAAATTGACTAAATGAGTACAATTTTGAGGCATGAATACACTTGGGAATTGTCGAAGTAGAGCCTTCGTCTTCCGGGAGTCATTGCTAAAAATATTGTCAGACTCATCTTCCAGCTGGGGTAAATATATGGCTTGTCCCTTGTTCTTCGTTCTAAGGTAATCCAAGAATGGTTAAGTTGAGGACCTTTTCATCAAACGTGCCTCATAGTTTGCATAAAGCCGCTCGATATGGAAATCTATTTCTGAGCAAACCTTCCTGTAAAGAGGACTTCAATTATCTGACTGAAGCTTCTGCTTTTAATCGAAAAGATTTTGTATATATTTCGGGTAACATTCTTCTCTGATTTAGGATCTAAATTGGGACGAATCTACTCGATCCTGAATAAACAAGTGAGCAAAATCTGGTGTCAATGTTGTTCCCGCTTGAATATCCTTGGAAAGTGGACCATCAATGGAATTGAAATATTTGCTGAGTGCATCATAGTCAGCTTTTCAGAAGTTTGGCATAGGTAAAATCAACATAGTACCGTGAGAAACATTGAAAGGAAAGCATAATATGTTGTAATTTGAATTGTGTAGAGGGGGCAGAAGGCTTACATAACGACAGATGACAAGAGAGGAAGAATGGTATCCAATATAGCATCTTGTCGCGTAGGTTCATCAACAATCTCTTTAAGATTGTTGCCTTCGAAGAAATCAGCAAAATAAGCTGCAGTCGTATTACTTGACTCACCATGTTTCCAATCAACATCTAAGTTAAAATCGCCGAGAATTATTAAATGAGCAGAAGGCGAACACATTGTAGCTAAAATACTAACAGTATTCTATAATCAACATAGCAAAAGTTGGGTGGTCTATACACCAAGATGAATCGAGTGTTCCCGACGGAAGTGTCACTGAAATAATCAAAGCAGAAATAATCAAACTTGGTAACGACCCAACAACAACTTCTGACTATAACAAAGTGAGTCTTTAATTAAACAAGCACAACCCCCCCCCCCCCC